TGAAGCCCCAAAGGGTTTTCGAACTTAACATCATCAATACATTTCAAACCAAATTTGTTTTTCACTCCCCAAGCCTGTTCTTCTTCAAGACAGAGTCAATATCATCCCTCCTTTGCTCCCACCATTCATTAGTCACCCAGTCTTTTATTCCACCTGTCTTCTTCTTGACTCCTCTCTTTCCCAGTAACCCAGGATTGCTCATTCTGTGGCCCGTGCCTAATAATGAGAGCAAACATAATAATTTCTAGCAAGTGTTGAGCATTTAGGATGCGTCAGACATGGTGCTAAGCACTTTACATGTGGGACCCTGTTTAATCCTTACTCTGCCCTTCTGACAGGTACTATTACTAACCCCAGTGAAACATGTGAAAACTGTACTCACAGGGGCAGAGCTTGTATGTGGCAGACTGAGTTTAAATAGAGTTGGAAGCCAGTGCTCTGACCCACCTTTTCCAGCTTGGCAAATTGAGCATTTCAAAGCTTCGTTTACTCTTATTGAAGTCTTTCCAATCTCTCCTGTCCTTTCTTCTCCCAGTGCTCTCAGCATTTTCTACCCACATCGACTACAGTACATATTATTATATATGCATTGGCCCATTTATTAGTTCTTCCAACAAATATAATTTGAGAGCGCAGTCTATCAGACACAGGGCTTGACACAGCTTCTTAGCAGTCAGCAAGCCTGGACTTGGTCTCCTAGAGACCAGTGGGAGAGACTTTAAGCAAGTAACCACACAATAACACCATAAAATCCCAGATGATAGTTGCTTGGAGAAAAACTTCAGGTGCTGGGGATGTGTCTGTTACCAGGCATCACATGAGCGTCATTAAAGCCACAACTGCAGCATTTTCATTTTCCCATCGCTAATGTGTTCACTGTATTGATATGCAGTTGCATTAATACATTCTAGAACTCTTTCGGTTAGAGATTAGATTTTTTTTTTATTGGATTTGAAATTAACGTTGAAGAAATGGAGTGGTAAAATATTTTGGCCTCATGACAAGAGTTGCAGGAACAAGAAGACAAATATTATGAATGAGAAAGATTGGATTTGCACAAAGGCAAGGTTGTCTCAATGTAAATCTCTCCATTCAGGAGTATACTTATTCTATTTGATATAGTAGTAGTTTAATGGAGTTCCAAACATAATGAAGAGCTCTGTGTACTCAACTTCTGTCAGAAGGGAGATGTTGAGTTGAGGGCTTGGAAGGATGTATTAGCACCTAGGAGTTCTTCTTCCTGCTTGTTGATGTATTTTGTTTACCTTGCAAAATACTAAAATACTAAAAAATACTAATACTAAAATACTAAAAATACTAAAAAAAAAACAAGTGGTATTTACAAACCTATTTAAATGAAATCCCCACATATGCTATTTTAGATTTCAAATTTCATGCGAGATGTATCCAAAGGTATTTCCTGCTATAAAGTAGCTGTGATATTTCCAAGCAATTTTAACCTTCTATTTAAGTGCTTCTGAATCGACAAAAATCATAATAAATGTTCAAGGAGTGACATCTTGGATCACAACATTATAATTCAATGACACAGAAAGAGTAATATTGAAATACAAATTACAAGGGTTTCATCAATTGATACAAAATCCATTTTAGGCTGTAAACAATATTATAAAGAGATTTTAAATTGCTCAGACATGTAAGACATTAGTAGTAATCTTTTTTTTGTTTCTGTTGTGTTATGACTCAGTTCACTACATTCAAGTACTTGAATTCAATACTCTTAAAGTTATGATGAACTACACCATTTGGAAGTGGATCTGTTATTGGGGAAACAGAATTTTTAAAAACAGAGCAAACCTAAAAAATAGCCATTGATTTACCACAAAGAACAAAGATAATAATCTCAGTGTAGGGTGCTATACTATAATCATGAAAGTCACAGTTGGTTTGCAGAAGCATCTTTGTCCAAGCTCTCCTTACTCATAATATCCAGACAGGTATGGGCACGTAAATAAAGTAGTTAATGTTAACATAAGAACTTACAGTTTAATGATGAAAAATGCTATATGAACGTTATATAAAATAGTAAAAATCTTTGCTTCAGGAATTGTGTGAATTATCCCTAGAACTTTGTACTGTATAAAATGGGGGGATTATCTTTTCTGTTAGAGATCTTCTCTTCTACAAGAGTAAAGATGAGTAATAACAGTAAGCATCCCCAAATTTTGTGGTAGCTATATTTTTCTTGAAAGTTGTTTAATAGTTTTACTTTATATTTATTGAGATTTTCATCCCTTACCCATTACCAAGGATTTCCACTGTTTATGATCAACAATGTTTATTTTGTGTTGAATTTCTCCTGTCCCTAAAGCAAATATCCTTCTCCTTTGCTCATCAGAAATAAAAAACCAAGCTTACTAGGTTTGAGGTCTTGATCCATTTGCCCCCTATGTCTCTTCTTACAACCCAACTGATGGACATTGGAGGAAGCCCCACATTGGGAAATGTTATCAGGATGCCCTTGGTTCACTCAAAATTATACAAATATAGGATCTTATATTTTTCAATTTTTACATATTTCCCTCTCAATATATGTGCATTTGGATAAATAATGCTCATCACCAAATAATTTGGTGACTTGGGATGAAATGGGATTTATAAAATTTTACCATAGCTATAATTACACCTTAAATTACACCTCTAACCCATTTCATAAGAACAATATATTTTTGAATGATTTCCATTTTGACTCAATTGCGCATACATGTTTTAATTACCAAAATTCCAAAATAGTACAGTCTGAGTTTATATATATATTTTATAAATATGTATTAACTGTATCAATATATATATTTTATAAACAAATAAGTTATATAAAAATGTATATTAAAGGGGCGCCTGGGTGGCTCAGTTGGTTAAGCGACTGCCTTTGGCTCAGGTCATGATCCTGGAGTCCCAGGATCGGGTCCTGCATCAGGCTCCCTGCTCAGCGGGGACTCTGCTTCTCCCTCTGACCCTCCCCCTCTCATGTGCTCGCTCTCTCTCTCATTCTCTCTCTCAAATAAATAAAATCTTTAAAAAAATGTATATTATATATATATGATTCCAAACATAATTTAGAAAAAAATAAAATACGTTGTTATGAGATAAGAAGTAATTTCTTCTAAAACTAAAACTAGTAATTTTTGATCACATCAACAACATAAAATTGGAATAAAAGTAACTAAACCTAAGAAATATACAGAGTCAAATAAAAGTCTGCTCTTGCTATTAAGTCAGTATTCAAAATCACTGTGAGTGTATTATTTTAGTTATACAGTGTTGCAACTTCAAAAATGTACTTTTTGGAGAAGAAAGAGTCTAGCCTTCACAGAGATAGTAAATAAAAGAATTAACTATGAGAGCCAAGCGATTTTCAAAGCCCAGTTGCTCATTAAGAGGCTGACTAACCTACTGTAGCTCATCACTGCAACCACAGAGGGAAGTCCCTGCTAAACCACAGTCCGTCACAGTTACAGAATGAATACCGTAGCCACGGCTGCTTCCAAGACCAGAACATGGGCAAAGCCTTACCTTATTATATTATTATATTACATTATATTCTGCTGTAATGACAAGGGTGAGAAACTACTACCACGGGTCTCAGCATCTTCCCGCGTCATTTACCGCACAGGTTCCCAGCTGCACTGCACACTAGCAACACCTGGGGAGGCTCAAAACTGTGCCGGAGTGTTGTTGAGGGGCGGCCCGGGGCACCGGCAGTATAAAAGACGCCCAGGTGATGGGGATGGACGGCCGGCGCTGTGAATCAGGGAGTAGCTCCCACACCTTGAGGCCCGGCCTTCAGTCTTGTCCTCCAGTGACATCCTCTACTAATGTTGCCAGAATGATCTCTCTGTAATGCCTACAGAATTAAATTCAAACTTCAGAGCACAGTGTAAGACTCCACAGGATCTGCTTTTAAATACTGGCCCAGGGCGCCTGGGTGGCTCAGTTGGTTAAACCGTTGCCTTCAGCTCAGGTCATGATCCCAGGGTCCTGGGATGGAGCCCCACATCAGGCTCCCTGCTCATGCAGGAAGCCTGCTTCTCCCTCTGCCTGCCGCTCCCCCTGCTTGTGCTCTCTCCCTCTCTCTCTCGCTATCTCTCTCTCTGTGTCAAATAAATAAATAAAATCTTTAAAAAAATAAAAAAATAAAAAAAAAAATAAATAAATACTGGCCCGGCTGCCCCTCCCTGGCTCCCTCCCCACCAGCCCCAGCAAACATGTGTTTCCCGCGTGCCTGCCCCAGCCCCGGGGCCTGCGCATGTACTCATTCCTTCAGTCCGTGCTCGGACGTGTCCTCCAATGTTTATCTCCTTATCTGCCTGGAGAACTGTGTCTTCTCCAAGAAGTCTGTCCTCACATCCTAGCCTCTTCATCTACGTTCTCAAAGCACAAGTGTATTGGGGTTCTTGCTTTTGTTTGTTTTGTTTTTTGGACTAATCATATTGAACTGTCATTTTAGAACATATGTCTCTCTCACCTTCATTAGACATTTTTGGAGCAAGGACAATGTCACATTTGCTTCTGTATCCCCCAAACTTAGCATACGGTCTAGCTTATACTGGCATTTTGTACCTGCTAAATACATGAATGAATAGCATTTTATACTATTTTCACTTATTATAGACGGAGCCAGAGGAGATTCATTTTGGGCCCACCAAAAAAGACAAGCTTACACTAAAAAAAAAAAAAAAGGATTAGTATTTACTTAATATTTAGTAATAGCAGTGACAATTACTTTAAAAGATTAGTCATCCAATTAGGCTACTAAATGGATTTTAAACATGGTTAAAGTCAAAGAAAAACTTCAGTTAAATCCTCAATCGTGCTCTCTTATAATCAACCTCCCAAAACCACGTATTTTCAGAATCACAGCCAATATATACTCACCTTAGACTTTGGTAAGGGAAGGAAGCCCACTTAATGCCCACCACAAGTTGGCCTAATCTGGCATCATGTGACATCTAACCCACAACTCTGGTGAACATGCTTACTTTGTATTTGCTTTCTGATCTGGAAGGGGTGGGGATATGTCCTTTTTTCTTGAAGGTTGTAAAGTGCTTGCACTGAGGACATGGCTTGGTGCTGGAATCAATACGGCCAAGTTCCAAGAAGTACTTATATTTGATGGAATCTTCATGGGTTAAGTTAAAGACAATCGTTCTTTCTTCCAGGAATTCAAAACATTCTGTGATAGGGCATTTGATTTCTACTTGGCCAAGTTGTACCTGTGAGAAAGAGCACATGGGAGACAAAAAAAAAAAAAAAAAGGCAGTGGTTAACTCTCTTCTTTTTTTCTCAAATATTATCACTTTTTTCATGATTACAGTAAAGGATTATCCATCATTTTTCAGGATTTCTAACATAGTAAATGGTAATCACTTTGGTACCTACATTAGGCTGTACCAAAATAATTAATCACTATATAAAGTTTCCAGAAACGATTTACAGCATATTTAGGCATTCTCTATCATCATATTTGTGAACTTAAATGGACCTAAGCCACAGGCTCAGCAAAGAAGCAAATTATCATCCCATCCTTCTGGAAACCTCAGGGTAAGAGGGCATTCAGACAATGTGCCAGCTAAAGGATGAAAAGGTGGTTCAGATTTTTCAACCTTACTACGGAGTATCTCAGCACTAAACTTAGGGCACCTTTACTTTAAAAGAAATAAAAAGGATTTTGAAAGTATATATATATATATATACATACAGATATATATCACCTAGTAGTTTAAAAATACTGCAATAATAACCTCATCTTCCCTGACTCTTCCATGTAATGAACATATAATAGTTTTTATGTCATCAGAATCACAAGAACAAGTAAGAAAATTACACAAATCACATTGGTTTAAAAAAAAAAATCCATATGATGGGACGCCTGGGTGGCTCATTCAGTTAAGCATCTGCCTTCGGCTCAGGTCATGATCCTAGGGTGCTGGGATGGAGTCCCGCTTCAGGCTCCTTGCTCAGCGGGGAGCCTGCTTCTCCCTCTGCCTGCTGCTCCCCCTGCTTGTGCTCTCTCTCTCTCTCTCATCTCTGGCAAATAAATAAATAAAATCTTTAAAAAAATCCATATGAGATTTGGCTACAACTGAGGTTATTTATAAAATGAATTTCTCCCCAGGGCCACAGAGTTAAGTTAGGAGAGAGGAGAACGATGTACTAGAATGCTACATTTAGCATTTGGTATAGGATTCTAGATAAGGTTAGCATTAAAGATAACAGCAAAAGATTAAAGCACGAAGTGTGGACAGAACTAAATTTTAAAAAATGAAGAAAAAAAACTAATTAAAATTAAGGAGTTCCATAAATGTCTTCCATAAGTAGTGAACAAGAAGTGTTTATTGTATTTATATATCATGGCATCATAATCTCTTTTTGCATATCCTAATATAGCAAAGGGAGGCAGTGACATTTCCAAATGGCAAACAATGCTAAACTGTCTCTTTTTCACTTGGGTGAACCTGACATTCTGAGAAGGCAAAACACACTGACCTTAATGAGAAAAAGCCCTCCCTGAAAACTGAGGGAGGAATGGGGAAAAGCTATGCTGTCTGGGAAAAGAAAAACATCACCACAAAGAACAATTAAAAAACACACAACTGACATCATAGTAACTTTTCTTTTAACTTTGCTGTTTATCTGGCACAGACTTGAGGATAGGTAGTTAAGAAGCCACAGGCTAATGGATGCATGGGATGATACATTTAATATGAATAAAGGACATGAGCCAGACTGATAATGAAATGAAGGAGTCTGGCTTTAGATAAACCTCCTTCTTAGGATCAACCTGCTGAAAGTGTCAAATGCTACATAATTTTATACTATTATTGTACAAAACACAGTCTAGAGAGGTTTTTCAAATATCAGCCCAAAACAATTTTTCTACTTTTTATGATGTCTGTTTATAGCTGCAATCAGATTTTATTATTATACTTGTTAGAGTTATGAAATGTTATTATAAACCCAATTAAATTTTATAATATATTGTTTTCAGTTATAGCTCAGTTTAAATCTTCAGATTTTAAACAGACAAAAAACCATGTGTGACATTATTAGAAACCGGGTTAATGAAGCACATAAAACTTTTTAAAAATTAATAAATGTTTCCTTTTTTAATATTCTGTCAACATTTATCAAGCCTGCTTCTGAGCCAGGTATTGGGTTAGGCACTGAAGCTTTGCAGTGCCCATCAGAAAAGAGGTGATCATGATACAGAGTGTGAGTCTGCCTGACAGACAAGAACAGGGCGTCAGGAGAGGATATGGGGGAAGCTGAGTAACCTCACACTTTGGAGGTTCAAACGAGGCTTCTAGGAAGAAGTGAGGTTTCAAGTGAGATCTTAAGATTAGTAGGACTTAGCCAAACACGGGTGAAGGGTTTCAAGCAGACAGAAGATACACCATGGACAAAGGCCTGGAAGTAAGAGAATATGGCACACGATAGCAGGGGTACTCCATATTTTCCCCACCTCCTAACCTCCTAACTGGATCATGAGGTACATGCATCCTAACCTAAAGATGACAGCCTTAGAGGGACTGAAAGATGATCAGTAAGACTGGACCACAAAGTCAGAGTATAGAAAGATAAGGGTGTACAGATGACCTGGGATCAGAGCATGAGGGCAGAGCATGAAGCCATCCTCAAAGTTTGGATGTTTTCATAAGAAAATTAAAAAAAACCTCCAGTTTTCAGCAAGTGAAAAACAATTTGTTTTCATTCCACACAGAAGGAGCTCCCTTGGGCCATTTCAAGTGACTCTTGTTTATTGGGGATCAGCATACTTTAGGGGATAGGAGCCAAATTTTTTGCTACCAGGTCAATGTTTTAACTTGGCCTCCCTCCCCTATAAATTTATTTTAACCATGCAATGATAACAATGGAAGCAGTAAGTTCAGAGCCAACCAGGGGTAGTCAGGTCTTATAGAAATGGAATGTAGTTTAGGGACCAGAGCAATTCAAGGCAGCTCAAGGGAGTAGGTTCTCTTGTTACTCCTTCAGCAGTGAGTGCTCATTACCACACCACATTGGGTATTACCTACCATCTAACATCCGACCAGAGGACCTTGTCTTCAGTGTTTTTCAAATCTGTCTGCATACCTATCCATTTCCTTAGAACGCACAATTTCTTCATGCTTTCAAACTCTCTGCATTTTGCCTATTCCATACCTTCTCTTCTTTCTGAAAGCTCCAAAATCCTTACCCTGAACTGAACAAAATGATCTCTATTTTATTAAGCAGATAGAAGCAGACAGAAGAAGCAATAGGATCATAGCTTCTCATCTTCCCACTACCAACTCTCTCTGAATCTATGCCTGTCCCCATCTTTTCTATTCTCCTTCCTTTTCAAATATAGGGCCTGATCTCCAGGACAACTGCTTGAGTCTCTTAAAGGGTTTGCTGAGAATTCAAGTTTTATGGCCCACCCAGGACCTACAAAATTTGAATCAATGCTGGTAAGCTAGTAATTGACAATTTGGAAAAATTACTCATACAGTTCTTTGAATTACTCATAGTTCTTCATACTAAACAATATCTACTTTTTCATAATAAAATGCTACTCATGACCTATGCAATCTCTGGGCCTCTACATATCTTTCTCAAAATAATTTCCTCAAAAAAATCACTACCAAATAAGTAATCATGATTAAGCAAAGTGCATTCATTTATTTATTCAACAAGATATGTATTTCATCAGTTCAAGGACACATTTTTTTCAGCATTTTAAAAAAAATTTTATCTTATTATGTTATGTTAATCATCATACATTACATCACTAGTTTTTGATGTAGTGTTCCATGATTCATTGTTTGTGTATAACACTCCATTCAATACGTGCCCTTTTTAATACCCATCACCAGGCTAACCCATCCCCCCACCCCCCTCCCCTCTAGAACCCTCAGTTTGAGCATTTTAATATCTCAAAAGTCAGGACTGTCTTATCATCAATAGTCTTTAGCATTGTCCCATGTTTAATTTGCAGTTTTTATTTTCTTGGTGGCACATAATATAATACTGCATTCTACAATTGGTCATGTCTTAGACTTCAATGAAATGTGGTTTTTACGAGTTAGGCAGCATGGTGGACTCTGGAGAAATGAGGGGAGAGAGACACAGAGCTTCTTTGCTGGAAATGTGTAATAAGTAAATAAGCCAGGCAGATTATAGTCAGTGCTAGAGGGAACTACACATCAGGGAAGGGATCTCTAAGGGAGAACTTGAATGGGGAACTAAAGCACCCATCATGTAGAGAAACTGGGGAAGAGACTACAGGCAACAGAAGCAAGGACATGGCCCCAGGGCACAAGGTGTCTGATGGGCTTGTGTTCACAGAACAGAACTGTGTGACTGAGACACGTACCAAATGAGCCAGAGCACACAGAGCTTGTTGGCTGGGATAGGAAGTTATGGAGTGTATTCTAAATTCAGTGCAAATCATTGACTAGTTTTATGAGGCGGAGTGGCATACCTTGATTGACATTAAAAACATCACTCAGGCTCTTCCTGGAGAATGGACTGCAGAAGGACACAAGTGGAGACTGGGAGAATAATAGGACTCTGGATTGTACTTTTCTTCTTACCAGTGGCCTCTGACTGTTTCAGCCCTCTAGACAGTCGATGGTGGATGATGGAACTAGGTGACAGGAGAAGCCAGATATGGGGCACATTTTGGAAGTGGAGCCAATGGGGTTTGGTGATGGACCAGATATTGAAAATGAAGTAAAGGAAGGAAGCAAAGATAACTCTAGGATTCTGGCTGGAATAAAACGATGCTGAGCGGATGCTATTCGCTGAGAAGTGTCTAATAAAATACAGTTTTCATGGATATGTGATATTTGCTGGAAAGGATTCACTGCAAATTTATTATAGCAACAAGAATAAAGTTCATTAATTCACCCAAAAAACCCATATATTTAACTCCTAAGATATTACAAGTAAAAGACATAGGTCCAGGATATAAAGTAGCTTAAGCTATGAATCTTGCTCTTGTGGAACTTGAGAATACAGCAATCAAATTTGTGTTGATAGCCTCTTCTAGCAACTGATGATTTGATGATACTAATTCACTTAATATTTTACCCACTGTTTAAAACATTTTTTATTAGGGTAATCATGAACATATGCAAAAGCAAACAGATTGATATTATGAATCCTTAAGTACCCATTCTCCAGCATCAACACCTATCAACTCTTGGCCAATCTTGTTTCTTCTGTGCGCTGA